ATTATTATTATTATTATTATTATTATTATTATTATTATTATTATTATTATTATTATTGTTTGTTTATTATTATTTGTTTATCATTATTTGATTATTATTATTTATTTATTTATTATATTATTATTATTTATTTATTCACAAGCAATGACCAGTTTGGATGCCTTCTCATCGCAGGTGAGAGAGGGAGGTTGGCTCCCAGTTCCCCAGCCACCAAGCTAGCCAAGCAATTCTGGGGATTGAAGTTTACCTGTCTTAAAGGTATTAAAGTTAAAAAACACTGTACTAGTCCTTTTCAGTTAACAGAATAACAAAAGGAGCTCTTCTAGTCCAGCCTTCTGCATAAGCAGGAGATCCTATACCATTTCAGACAAATCTCTTCTTGAAAACCTCCAGTAATGGAGTACCCACAACTTCTGGAGGCACATCGTTCCACTGATTAATTGTTCTCACTGTCAGGAAATTTCTCCTTAGTTTAGGTTGCTTCTTTCCTTGATTAATTTCCATCCATTGCTTCATGTCCTGTCCTCAGGTGTTTTGGTGAATAGCTTGACTTCCTCTTCTTTATTGCAACCCCTTAGATGTTGGAACACTGCTATCGTTTCACCCTTAGTCCTTCTTTTCATTAAACTTTACTAGACATAGCCAAGTCCAGCAATCATTCTTTATATGTTTTAGCCTCCTGTCCCCTAACCAGATGTAGCCTGTTGTGGCAATACAACTTGCGCTGGAGAAAGTAAAACTTTTCACTCCGTCCACACCCTTCCTGCTATAACTGAATGGTTTGTGATCTGGCCTAGAGCAGGGTTGTCCAAACATGGCAACTATAAGCTGGCTGGGGAATTCTGGGACTTAAAGTTCACAAGTCTTATAGCTGCCAAATTTGGAGAGCCCTGGGCTAGAGCTACCTGACCAGTGGAGTAACTGACTACTTCCATCCTAACAACTAAATAATGAGAATGTAGCAAAACTGTCCAGTGTCTAGGGTAACTATTTCATAATACATTAGAAGTTATTTCATGTTACCTTTGCTGCACAAATATTACTAAAATGCAGCTCACTCCCACCTCACAGAGGTAACAGCAGAAATTAATTCAGTTTCTATAATAATGGAAATTAATGGCCGTAATTTCTGCAGCCCTGATTGATTTAGCAAATAAAAAATTTCATAGTTCTCTAAAGTCCCCCAAACAGGCAGAATTTTTAATTCTCTCACAATCCAAGAAGATGTTCAGGGATTTTTGTGTGTGTCCATGTGCAATTTTCTTCTAAAAGCATTGATAAGCATGGTGATTATATGGTGACCAGAATTTAGTCGATCCATCAAGTCCTGCAACATTTGCTTAATATAAAAAGCTAGAGAAGATGACACAATTCCTTTTTTCCCTCATTCTCTGGCTAATTGAATTGTGGTTACTGAATTAACTCAGCTATCTGGATTTCCAAGGCACATTGAATCAAAAATGTCACTCCAAACTAGTTGATTTTAGCATACCACAATGCATTAAGTATCCCAGCAAGTATTGTTAGTCATGGTTTCTGATATAATCTACAATTGGGTTGAGTAAACTGTGGTTAGGTTACCTCTCAGAAAATGTACTGTGTGAAGACCTCCTGTATCTCTTTGATGTTACTTCCTTGGAGTCTGTTGGAAGTGCTGTTTCCTAAATCAACAGGATAGTTAAATAACAAATAATGAAGACTTTGGTCCTATTTAAAATAACAGGCAACAAACAATCTGAAGTTAAAAGTCAAGCTGACTTGACAGAACAGCAAGAACCCTTTCAGAGTCTCACCATTTCTGGAGGTATCTTTTTGGAGTCCAGAATAACTTGGTGGAGTCTAGACCAGTAAGATAATTTTCCTACCAGCATAGTTTCTCCTTCTATGCTGGCAATCCCAGTGCATAGGATTGAGCATCAGGATCAAACCTCCATCTGATCCACTATAAGGACAAGGCAAACTTTCACAAATGCATTAGGGGACTGCTAGAGATGACATGGAAACTTACCCAGCTCAGGACAGGTATCCCAGGCACGAGTTATTTCTGAATCTTGAGTTCTAGATCCTTTCAGATGGTCCAACTTTGCTCAGATCTGTCAATATGGTAAAAGTAGGGATTGGCTCAAATTCTAGTGCAGGTAGAATATCTTAGGATTTTAGAAGGGGAAATGATTAGTGTGGGATACAAACAGGGACCATCTCCTTTGAGATGCGCAGGATGGTAATTTAGCAACAGGAAGAAGATGGCCATTGCTTTGCAAGGGTTGGCACCAAAGTGTAGTTCTGTACAATATGAACCACATGAATGACCTTGGAGGAAATACACAGAAATGGTTATAAAAAGAGAAGCCCACTTTAAGTCTAGGAAAGAGAAGAAACGTGGTAAAGAAGCTCAGTTTGGCTCCACCATAATTTGCTGGGGTATAGGAGACAGGGAAAAGAAAACACAATCAGCCTTTCAAATTTGATGCCAACACTCTTAAGATAGAGCAGGTCAAGAAACAGACGCCACAAGCTTAAGTGGAACAATATTGATATAGTCCTTAGTAGCAGAATTTTGAAGTTATTTCTGGCTTTCTACAAGTTCATGGGAGACAGATAGAGGAAGATCTCTTATGGGAGAGTTGTGTGGGCAATACAGTTTTGCTAGTAGCAAACACAACTAGCAGAGGCCAGACAAGTTCAGCCTTCCTTCTAATCCCTGGACTAGGATATCATTCCATTTTCTTTATCCTAGCCAAATTTGCTAGGATTTGCTGAGATGATGTTGCTGCTTCTCAGCTCTGCCCTCTACCATAGAAGCAGCCGGTCTTCTGTGTTCTGTGATAGCAACATGGAACACAAGGTCCTAAGAAGTGCCAATCTCACACCATCCACCCTGCTGCCTCCCTATCTTTGCCTGTTATGTGCGGAGGAATGCCACTGGGTATAGAAAAACAGCAGGCTTCAAGGAGAGCAGAAAGGCCAAATAAGATGTGTGAGGGCAGCTAGTGTGGCTTGGTGGTCAGGCAAGTGACTTAAACATGAAAGGATATCCAAAGCAAAAGGGCATGGACACCGTAAAATGTTGAAGTTGCCCTTGGCAACTTCACAACATTCTGAGTGATTTGCATTGGGTACAACCTGGTTTGCAATGCACAGAATTGCAATGCACAGAATTGTTGCCAGACTCTGCTCTTGTTCTGCCTGGACAAGACAAAAGGTGGCTGTCTAGACAGTGAGTGTGATGGCTCTCAAATTTGCTCATTACTTCAGTTGAAAAAAACCTGGTCTTTAGACCAACCAATTAAACGAACTTATGAGAAATTCAATAGCAAAACAATATTTTATATGTTAAAATTACTTGGAATTTGCTGCTACGGTTTAGTAATGACCATTAGCCTAACAGGCTTTTAAAAATAAATACATTTATAAATGTAGGCAATCTTTGGCTGCATGCTGTTTTCAAATCACATTTTCCTGAAGTTTTCTTGCTTTTTTCTTTCCAATAGCTTTCTCTAAGCTAAGTATATTTAATGGTGGAAAATAGCTACAAGTTTGAATGCATGACATGACCTATCATAGTAAGATGTGGTTACATGGATTTACCAGAAAACAAAATGGCAAAGCTCCTTTCTACCTTTAGCTTATGATATGATTGCCCCCCCCCCCCCACTCGCTCCCTTCAAGCCAGGCAACCATCTTCCAAACTAGCTGCTTGGTTATACTTCCCCACACTTAATTTTCTCAGAATGCCTTTGGGTGTTTCCATCTTCTAGTGTTTTGCAACTTGCTTGTTTTCTATATACATTTTTACTTGAACATTTGGAAAGAAAAAAAACAAGATAGGTCAAGAAGCCTGGTAAGCATCTAAGTTGCTGATGGATCTACAGGAATATAGAGTGCCATATTGGAAGTTGAGATCACAGATTTCTCCTGTGCGCTGCTTGGAGAGTCCAAGCATGAATTATCTTCTGTCTATTTGGCCAGAGACTGAGAAGTGAAAAGCTTTGGCCATGACTCTTCCTCTTGGCTGAGCCCCATTTTTCTTCTCAATCTGGCTAGAGAGACAGAGTTTCTCATTATTCTTGCTTGGATTCTTCCAATTGGTGAACCTGAACAAAAAGTAAGAAAGGCTAGTTTGAGCTGGGGACTTCTCCCCCCTCCACCGAGTTGCAAAGCTGCATACATTTTTACTTGAAAGGAACTTTTGGAAAGAAAAAAACAAGATAGGTCAGGAAGCCCGGTAAGTTGCTGATGGATTTACAGGAATATAGTGTGCCATATTGGGAGATGAGATCAGAGATATTTATATGATCATTACAGAAAAAAAGTTGTCAAACTTACCCAGACATTGCTGATTTTCCAGGATGTTAAGGAACAGAATGCAAGATCATTTAGACCAGGGGTTTTTGAAGTTTTTTAGAAAAGCCTATTAAAATAATTTACTGGAAGTTCTGTTGCCTGTCTCTCAACACACATAATGCTGTATCGACATAAGCACAATTGCTCTCTGGGGGAGCGTTTCTGAATATTCTGATATGTCCTCTCCTTCCCACAGTATTTTAGAAAAACTGTTATGGATTCTCTTGTTTAAGTGAACTTTTTTGCCCTTTGTTTCTCACAGAATTCCGTCGTGTTCCCCTGGAAACTTAGGGTTCTCTTGAACATTCAGAAAAACACTGGTCTGGACTACATTGTGCAAGTACCATGAAGCTTAAAAGCAAATGTATCATTTATACAAAGTTACTTGACAACTTAAGATCCCCCCAAAATACTAATTATTGATGCTTTTAAAGTACAATTTTACATTAGAATGATGCACGTTTATATTAAATATATCAAAATTGTAGCTATCTCTAATTCATCAATTGTAATTGGGGGGAGGCGTTGTATGTGTGCCCTTAAGTCAGTGTTGATGTGTGACAACTGTCTGGATAAGTTCCTGCAAGATTGATAAAGATTTCAGAAGTGGCGTCCCTTTTCCCTGGATTGCGTGAGAGATTGGCCCAAGGTCACCCAAATCGTTTTGTGCCTAACACAGAACTACAGCACAGTTCTAGATTCTAGCCTGGTGCCTTAACTACTATATGGCTCTCTGTAGTGGCTTTTAAGGATACATAATGCTTTTTATAATATATTTATATTTATTCTATAATGGTTATAATTTACCATTCATGACAAGGCTATAATAGGCTACATTTATAGACTTATTCTTACATGCAGAGGAATACACAAATTTCAAGATGTGTATTCCTCTGCACGTAAGACATTGTAATTGCAATATATAGACAACTTGACTACAGTCACATTGAGGCATGTCAGTTGACAGGTAGATGAAAACTATTGTGAGATAATCTCCAACAATTTTCATTAAACTAAACAGAAAATTTATTGTGATAGAAGTTATATTAGATAACCAGTCCAAATAGAATATAGGCTTAAACAATGAACCTCAGGTTTAGAAATTCAGTTTTTCAATAGAAGAGGAAATGTACCAAATGTACAAAAGAAAGAGAAGTGCAACTAAGGTTTTCAGATACAGAATATTTTCAGTATTTATGTTCTTCAGATTTTATTTCCTCTTTCTGTCCAAAAAGTAGGCTGCATCATTTTCATCATGTAAAAACATCAATGCAAGATCCATCCTTTGTCCCAATATATTCAATACATTAAAGAAATATTTTTTAAAGATTGTATGAAAACTTATGCAGAAAATGGCAGTGAAGAAAAATCCAATGCTGAATAAATAAATGCAGCAGCATCAAATAAATTACATTATTAAAAATTTTATTTGGGTTTGGTCAGTACAGGTAAGATAATATTGGAGTCACAGAGCAATATGCATTAACAGGAGATACAACAGTTCTTAAAACTGAGTAACTATGCACACAAAATTCTTAAACATTGTCACCTAAAGAGAACACACAGATGCATAGTGGCAAAAGTGGAACACAAACTACTATAGGACTCCCTCACCAAGTTTATTTTAGTTAGAAAACTACTGTACTGGGCAAACTTGGCAGTCATTAACCCACAACTATTATGACAAAGTTTTGAGTGTTATAAACAGTATGAGTAAAGAATGCCCTTACACAGCACAAGTTCTAGATATACACAGATTTGTACATACATCATTGTGTTATACCTGGAAATAAAATTCCAATTTCAACTTCACATTAACTCAAAATATACCTTGAGCTTACACAAACATCCTTTTAGCAACATTCAACGTAATCAATTGTTAAAATTTCAGAAGTGGCAGAGGTATTGAAGCAGAAAACCCACAAAGGCAGAATTGTGACATATATGCACTAATTTGAACAGTTCTGGACAGTTTCTTCTCCCAATTAAGTGACACTATATAAAAAATGTTGGGTTTTTTTTGCAGAAAAAGGTTACAAAACCGAACCCTGCACATTTACGTTAGAGTCCAAACCATTCTGAACATGACGAGACCCCGAAGTTCTGTTACCTTTCACACTGACTGTTTTCTCCTCTTGTGGATCATGATTAGAGTCTGTATCATTTGAATGGTGAGTAAGAGAATTTTCACTACCAGTGGGAGAGTCTACACTTTCGTACCCAGTACTGAGTTGATTTATATAACTACCAGATCCTCTGCCAGTTCTATCTTCAGAGTGGTTGGAAAGCTTATTACCATTGCTTGGTGAGGGTGGAAAATCATCCTCTGTTCCACTACCTTCTCTATAAAAACCAGGCCCCGCTGTCCTCTGATGTGAAGAGCTGCCATTACTTGGTCCATTGGCCAGGCGACTGCAATCTTTGCTCATGGTTTCACCCTGATCTGTAATTTCACAAGATGGAGTCCGGCTGGTACCTGGAGTTGAAGCTTGTAACTGCTGCTGCTGATACTGAACCAATTGTTGGCGAGTCTCTTTCAATTGTTGCTGTAGTACTAGAATGGTACTCTGCATACCTTCTACTTCCTCATCAAGCTGGATGATGAAATCATTCAGTTCTATATGAAGAAAAACAATTTAAAGCATATACTTAATGCTCTGTATCTGTCGCTTCAAACTGGGCATAACTAAACAACATGCACAGTTTCAGATATTAATACCTTGATCAACACATTCCATCGTAGCCCTTTAAAAAATAAATTTAATATAAATTTTGAATCTATTTTCTGGTGCATGCACGCACACACCTGTGAGCAATAAAGTCAAACAGAATATCTTTAAAATGAAAATTCTAATCCCTATTTTAATTTCCATAATTCATAATGCTTTTTATTTGTTTAAAGCTTTGGTAAAGCTCGTAAACAGATTTTTGCAATTATGCCTAAATTCAGCATAAAGGAAATACATGAAAAATACACTTGTAAAAAGGTCAACAGATATGCAGAAGTCCCAGTGGTGGATCTGTTATTTAAATGACTACATATTGCTGCTTATAACTGCTTTGAATTAAGCAATTTTCTGTCCAAAAACAATCTACAAATCCTAACATAAAAACTAGTACTGAACTCAAAATATATGCATTAATAATGTTCATAAATAAGATTTGCTTACTGTATACAAATAAAATAACTTGGTATTAGTAGCAAGATATTTTCCACCTTTCTGCAAGAAACGTATGTTCACATATTTTCTTTTTTATAAATTCTAAGTTACTTATCAACTATCTCCTACACAGTTCCTTCAGTATGTCTAGGGTTTTTTTTAGTTCCCAGGATTCTTAGGCAGCACAATCTAATTGATCTGGATAGAATCGCATTGCAGTTGCTCTTTACTATAATGACATATGATATATTTAATTTAAATGTTAATTAAATGACATATAAGTTCTCTGTGGCATTTAACAAACAAATATTAAGACTAATATAGTATAGAAATCTTTTAGCACATTGTAACACAGAGACAGCAAAAGTAAATTTTAAAAAAGATTTTTAAAGTTTGTGTTGTATTACAATTTAATAACTAACCAATTTAACTAAGTTGAACTATGGCTTCTGAAGACCCCAAAAGATGAAACAGCAATATGGAGATTAGCATTAGTAACTGCATCTGATAATATTTTGAAATTATGCTCATTGAAACAGCACTGATTATCTTCCTTTTGTATCTAATATAGCAAAAACACATCATTTTAGCGCAATTTCATTTGTTTACTTGTATCTTAGATATAGCATTTATATAACTAAATATAAAAAATGCATTCAAAATAATTTTTAGAAGAATTAAATCAACGTTTGCTAGCCAGGAGAGCCTATTACTTAGTGAAGTTTTAAAAACAAGTTTCCAATGGCTAAAAAACAAAATGTAACGAAGATAATATTACACAAAAGTCTTCAATTCAACCACACATTTACATGGAAGCAACACTAAAGAACTGCCAAATTCATTTTAAATTAAGTGCTAACTTTCTGTAACTGTCTTCTAAGGCACTGAAATAACTTTACAGTAAGAAACTAGAAAAGCATACCTTAAAGACTAAGAATTTATGTACCACCATTAGGACTTCTGCTTTTCAAAAAATAATCAAAATATTATAGAATAACCACACATGCTTAATTTGTATTATGATTTTGCTCAGTGGAAAAGAAAACTTTTGCAAAGGAGGACAAAATCAAACAAGTTAAATGTACTATAGTTAATTGTGTAAAAAGGTCATGCTTAATTCTCACCATAAAATTTAGTTGTGCTGGTAACTATAACAAGTTTTATGAGCTTAAAATTCCTTCCAGAACATTTTAAAGGTGTTCCATAGTAGAAATGTATAATACCCACAATGTTTGACTTTTGAAGCTTACACAAACACAGTACAATTCTCTATTTTCTTTTTTAAAAATCCCTTACCATCCTGACTGCTTTTAAGCTCCTCACTATATTTCTTCTGTAAAGCCAACTCTGCCTCAAGTTGTGCAATACGTCCTTGGGACAGTTGCCTTCCAAGCTCTTGATTCTCCTGGATAAGCATTCGACACTTCGCCATTAACTTTTTGCCTGTTTGGCTGTAAAGGAAAGAGCCATCTATCATAAAATGAAGACAATTTTCTTTCATCTCCCTTGATAAAAGCTGCCACTGGGAGCACTATTTCTGTAACACATCTTTCTATAGTATCTTGTTGCCAGTTGCCATTGAACATTGTTTATTGGTCTTCTGGCCCCACATGGCCAAGCTGAAAGGCAAGTTTCTACAGTTTAATAAGCAAACTATAATTATGATCAAAAGGTATCTATTTCTTTTATTTTCTGACTAGGCAATTTCAGTAGAAACTGGACTCAATAAGGAAGCGTGGGCAGAAATGATGAAAACATCAACATTCAAATTTTGGTTTCTAGGAACAGAAAACAGAATGGATTTATGTAATGAAAAGCTTAGTCATGTCTGTAAGTTTAACTCCATATCTTTGAATTTATCCAAATTTGGAATCACCAAAAACAAAGTTTGAACATTTCATGTCTTTCCTATTGGCCTCATGCCAGATACTCTGCTGCAGTGTCAATTACAAGCAGTGTTTCTAGCAAAGTAAAGCTCTTCTGCACCTCCCTTTTATATACACTGAGCTACTCACTACTTTGCATAAGCAGCCTATGCTAGCAACACCCACCTAAATGCCTGTCAGCAATCTAGGAATAGTCATATTGCGATAGGCTAGTGTAAGACCAATATGAAAGTTGTAATAAATTTTCTAAATGCCAACATAATCTCTGCCAATAGTATACAAGTTCACTGCTGCCCCTAGACCAGTGGTTCCCAACGTGGAGCCCACACCCCACAGGGTGGCAATTTGATTTTTAATGTGGGCAATTTGAATCTTGTTTAAACCAAGTTAATAGCCTTTTAGGATTCCTCCTCATGAGTAGAGTTCACTTTTTGAGTAAAATAAGAATTGTATGTCGGAGGGAGGGAAGTCAGAATTTTAGAGATGCTTAGGTGGGGCATTGCCAAAAAAAAAGGTTACCCTAACCCAATTTAGTTACTTGCTGCTTTAGTTATAATTGTTTGTTTGCTCTTTTTTTGGCCAGGAAATCCATTCCTTTTAATCTCCAGCTTCTGCCCTAAAACATCTAAGAGTAACATACCTTTCAGAGCTTAACATTTTATTTAATCAGGAAGTTATTTCTAATGTTTGAACTCTTTCTTGGATTATTATTTGAACTTGTTGGTTCAAGCCTAAATCTCTAGAGTAACTGAAAATGTGACCTATATAAAAGTCCTTCAAACATTGGAAAATGATATGCTTTACATTGCCTTTTTAGGCTAAAAGCTTTGTCCTCATGGAACTTTGGTATTGCTTTCCAACTTTATCATTCATTGTATATATGTCACATCCTTCTTGAATTGTGGTATCGAACTGAGAACTATTTCTATTTGAAATAGTTTATTACACGTATTTTAAAAAATTGTATAAAGCAGTCAAGCTTAGTAGTAAAGCAGCAAACATTTGCAAAATTATTTTATATTTAAACTAATTTTAAAAACTGAGCTGGGTAAACTAATGGTATGATTCAATATAAATAAAAAAGTTATGATCTGGCCAAAAGCACCATTAGAAGGCAAAATGCCTATCCTAAAAGGCTTAATAATTCAAGAAAGCACCTTTTCAACATAATAAGCACATTACAACCATTGGAAGATAACTTTACACATATTATTTTGAAAGAGAAACATGGTTTAACAGACTGCCAGAACTAAAATCCCAAAAGAAAACACAAAAACTGGGTACATATATCCAATTTAGTTTTTTTTCTGTTAGGAAGTTATACTTTGCAATATCATGCCTATTTTCTGAGCTTAGCAAATATATTTGAAGTTTTTATCACATAATCTAAGAAAGCTAATTTCAGCATTCTTCCATTGGATTTTTAAAAAAAACAAATTTAGTAAGTACTGTTTCAAAATTGTAACTCAATGCAGAATTATTAAATTATCCCACTTTTTGTCTGATTGGAAAAAAACTGAGACATTCAACAGGCTGACACAAAGGTATCATACAAAGTAGTTTCCTACATAAATTATTTTTCTACAGGAAAACTATAAATATAGCATAATGCCCAACAGTGCATATTGTACATGCGTGGAACCCATTGTGAATCCTGGCCTCCAAGGATGTATATTACAGCATATCTAGCTTATTTGTTTTTTTCTCATACATAAACAACTTGGATGAAGTAAGTGAATGCAAAATTTGTCACAAAGCTATTTTAGATATTTGAATATGCCTTAATTTTTTTAATAGCAACCTTCATTGAATATTAAACACTTTAAAAAGCAGTATTTTATGAAGGTTAATAAAAAAGACATATCCCAATTCTAAATTCCTGTAATTAAGTGGATGATTCTTTGGATCCTGATTCTTGAGAATAAGAAATTAGACTACAATAGATTTACCACTAATAAAATACATAAATGCTGAATATTTAGAATCTGAATAACATTTTAAAGGTCTTTTAATAACTTAGGGCAACACTCTAACTTGTAACTTGAACTAGATTTTATGCATATTAACTAAGTTAATTTATAAAAGACTGAGATAAGCAAAAACCAAACACATTAATTAATGTAGGTAATAGTTTCATGTTGTCCAAAGCATCTGGAGGATGCCAAGAAAGACTAGCTTAAAAGTTTCAAAAACTAAACAAATATAATTTCAAAATGTAATGATATCTAATGAAACACCAATATTGTATCTTATTCATGTTCATACTGTAAATATGATTTTCTCTTGCTGCAGTTCAAAAGCCTGTAAAGGGCAATGCAATACAATTCTTAAAACACTGTTGAAAAAAGTTAAGATTTTGAGCACAAACTTGCAAAGACATAGGATCCACAAAATATTATATGCAGATACAAGAATATTCTTTCCTTAGTACTTCAGAATCACTTTCACAGTGTTGAAAAATACACTACCATTTTGAAGCATAAGCAGAAATAAATTATGTCACAACACAGAAGACAAACAACTTAAGGAAAATATTTTTAAAACAATAAATTAACACTCATCTCTTGAACCAAACGCTTTCAATCTGGGAGACTCTGTGTTTTTTGTTTCTAAAGTTTCAAAAAACTTGTTTCTATCTCTGATATATGGTAGCTAGGGGTATTGAGGATTGCAGTTCAAAACATCTGGTAGCAACAGCTTAAAAAACACTGTTACAATTTCATAGAAACAACAATAAAGGAATAAGCATAACTACTTGAGTACTTAAAAGTACCAATTTCACATTTAACTTCTGATTAATCTATTAATCTGATTAAGTATGTGCATATCAAAGATTGAATTAAGACTATAAATTAGTCATTTACTGAAACCATTTTTTAAATGGCAGGTGCCTATTTTAAGTGCAAACAAAATAGACAAGCTGGATATGTATAGAAACTAAACACTATCTTTCCTTCTAAATCTGATCAAGTTGGGAATTCACAGGCAATTTGTATGGCACAATTAAAACATACCTATGAAGAATGGTTTCTGATTATACATTCAACAAGTTTTACAAAGACAAGTGTAACATTTTAGGATACTTTTTTCTGCAGAAATCTTACCTCAGTTCTGTTGATAGACCTTTAAAAGATCTTCCATACCATCCCACCAAGATGATCTCCAAAAGCCTTAATTAGTGTGAATGTTTTTCCCCTTTTGATGAAATACCCATGATTTGTATACTATGACGTTTTTATGTTGAAATAATTTTACCACAGGTATATGCATTTCGTAAAATGGTTGTTTTAGATTAATTACTGAATGTGAATGCTGTCCAGTTGAGATACCCTATGCAATAGTCCTCAATTTTTTCAGTCAACCTACTGAAGTACTAAGACAAAGCAAGTAATTTTAGAAGCCTTTCCACTGTAATCTTGAGAATACTGAAATGTCCGGTAAAACTATTCCTAAAATTCACTTAGACGTGACATGGCGCCAGACAATACCAATGATTTTGAACTGTTGTAAACCGATGGGATGTATGCAATAAGCTTTGACATTATCTTTCTTTCAGAGAACAGGATAAAACATGGTAGCAGCCTGTTCTCCATTCTTTTATGTTCATATTTCACTGGAGCTTCGTACAGTGGTTCAGCCAGCTGTATCTCAATTACTTGACATTACCTATTTTAAAGCAGTTTAAGGAAGAGTGCAGCTTTATGTGAAACTAAATATACAAACGCATCATGCTAGCTAGGCAACTGACTCTGGTATGCCTTGTATAGTTTCCGTATATTTTCTCAGGATAATATATATGGCAATTTTATACTGTCAAGGATAGGATAGGAATCGCAACTAGTTTTTGTTTATATATTCTAGTTGAGATTCACATGTATACAACTGTTCAACAATATAAAAATTGGTAATTAAATTGCATCTGTTTGTACAGCACTAGATTTAGGAATTTACATTTTACCAGCCATCCACAGAATAATTTGTTAATCCAAACCACGACAAGTTTCACTGAATTCCTATAAAGCCCAAATGCTAAGCAAATCAACACTTAAATGTGTGTATGTTCTCACATCTGATTAGCAAAAAATGTGATTTAAACAAAATTCACCTCATTTGAGTTTTGACCCAGCAGTTCAGTGAACAAGGAGGAAGTCCACAGTCTTAATGGCAAAACTGACTTAATCAGTCTCTACATCACTAGGTTTAGGATTAAGAGCGAAGCACATTCCACTTATATGTTTTACTGGAATTTGATATAATCAATTCATGATTTAAAATCTCTAGGTTCTCCTCCAATTTGTCTGTAGACATAGTGTGCCACAGACTTTAGACTTCTGCTTCTCCCTCATTTTCTTCAAACAGAACCACTTTGCAAGTGTCTACATGTTCTAGAAAGTACACATTTTCTGTGGTGGCCACTTCTTCAGAACAGTCCGACGCTGTCAGGCCTCTGAAGCAAAGGGGGGGAAAAGCTGAAACACAAGGTTCATCTGGTAAGTTTTACATTAAGCAATACAAGCTGGACAGAATAAAATGTAGCTTTTGGCTCAAAACGTCTGAGTCTTGGTGTGGAAACGAGTACGTGGTTGTCCCACCAAAGCATTCTCTGTCAGGGAAGTCTTGACTGGGGAGTATGTTTTGTTTACCTATCAGGTGTAAATTTCCAGGCACTCAGTTCATTTTGGGCTTGTTCCAGTTTGTCTTTAGTCTGTTCCAGTTCACCTTTCATTTTTAGGAAAAACAAGTTGATGGCTGGGTCCACCATTGTTGATCTCAGTTGAGCAACACTTGGTTGCTGGACTTGCTTGAGGTACTGTATCTGATTCTGCATGAAGGAAAGAAATATTAAGTCAATATATACTATCATCGTCCACACAATCTGAAAATAAAATTATATGATAGAATTTATATAGGGTGCTGTAAACACCATAATAATTCATACAACAATGCATGAACTAATCAAAAATTTAAAGAATGACACTGCAATACAGCTCCCCTCCTTCTGCATGTACATGCACTATTAACACATGTGCAAAAGGTTAGAGGTTATATGTTGGCAATGTTTCCATTTTACATACATACATACATATAATTTTATATTTTATAAAATCAGATTTATAAATAAGTATTAACAACATTTAAACAATTTTTAAACTGAGAAATTTACAGTCTTTTGTGAAGGTTAGTTTTTAGTGGTGGCAGCATCTCATAATCTGAAAAACCTAATTCTTACATATTGCAAGCAAAGAAATGTAAGCTTTGATTTTAATGAGGCAGAATAAATATTATTGTAATGGTGAGTTCCAATTACACATATTCCAATATATACAGTATTTATTATTCAGTAATCTATTATAGTGAAAACACATTGTTTAGAGAAACATACTAATAAAATAAATTTTGTCCTCAAAAAAAATCACAAATTCTCAACGTTAGGGTTGCTGAGGATTGGAAACTCAAGAGAATTAAACATAGTAGAAGATGACCCCAAGAAACTCCAGTGAATTTAATAATATATCTTCATTTGTCCACTTTTGGAACTATCCAAATAAGCTAGAGGGTTGCAAGTGGTATCATTGAAAAGTAGGTGACATCAAAAAGGGCCAGAATAACTTTTTCAACTTTTCCTGGGTTTTAGGACAATAGTTTATGATGAGCATGGAAAGCCTCTTCAGGAAAGCTTTCCATTTCCATTCTTAAAAAATTACCCAACTCTTACCAAAACAAGTATGCTGCTAAAATTCAGTAGTAAAATTTCAGCAATGAATGTGAGGGAACACACAGCTAGGAAGTGTCCCACTCCATTTTCCATCATTATTTTTGAGCGTGAACACACTACAAATTGGCCATTTTGCTGCTGAATTTCAATTGTATGGTTTTGAGATGCTAGAGAACAATTAAGGTACAAGAGAGACACAGACTACAATCTACCAGATGCATTAAACAATCAGTAGGGTTTTATTCTAACCAACTAAAACCATCAAGAACTTTCGCTTAAATATATGAGATTTCAGATAATTCTATAAACAAAAGTGAGCTATATTCATCTAGTATGATACAATTGCAACAAAAATGTGAATGCTTTGCAAGCGTGTACTGATTGCAAGTTTTGTAAGCATCTATTGTGAAAATGTGAAAGGATGCTCAACAAATATATGAAATGCAGTAGAGTTGTATACATGTCTGTAATATTATAAGGGATCATGGATTAAAATGGATTAGTGGACTGGTAACAGTAATAAAATATAGCTTTGACTGGAAGACCAATCAATGGTATAGTAAATTCTAAAGAATCATTGGCAAAAATCTCCATGCTATCACTATCATGGAATACCAAAAACTATTCCAGTTTTTTCAGTTAACATACTTCACTAACTGGACAGGAAATCTTGTTTCTGAATTGTTACAGATATATCCCAGTGACCACAAATTAAATGAAACCAATTATGTGAAGATTTTAATTATGCACAAATGAATAACTATGCATAAATGAACGATTACTATGTCTGAATCTTTCTACATTATTTGGAACATCAGTAATATTACCTAAGTATACATGGATACCATTCTCTTTATTTTCTACTACTGTTAGGCAATCTTGGTAGCAAGAGCCACATTTATCTATCAGAAGTCCAGAGTTAGGCCTATTTCCAAAGGTACATTTTTAGACTGGAAGTAGATGCGCCAAATGTTTATATGGTAACTTGAATTTCCTAAGGCTAATTTGAATTTACTGTAAACAATTCAAAGTTATGGTGCTGAAAAATAAATTATGACCAATACCAACATTTACATGTTTCCAGTGCCTCTCAGTCAGGGTATGGGAGAGTGGTTAGGACACAAACAAAAGTGGAGGGTGTGAAACTGATTAGTTTTGCCAGTTTTGAGCCCCCTGTACCATAGCCATTTGGGTCAGTATTCCAAAAGGCAGTGGAGTAGAGAAAAGGAAGGTATAAGTGCAATCACGTGATTCTCCAGCTTGGTGACGCTTCACTTATTGACAGTATTGCATGCCCCAATTGTGTTTGCTACACTGGGAATACCAGTAACCTCTAAATGGACAGAGAAAACACACCAAAATTTGCTATCAAATTTTAGTAGTGTAGTTTGGGGGTGACTTCAAGGACTTTAGATTCAGGGCTGCACACAATATTACCATCTCAAACAAAAAGGAAAAGCAAGCTTACGTTTTAGATCAATATGAACATTACAACAGAATTGTGTAATACAAATTAATGATTTTTATTTATAGGTTCTCTAATGTTAGTGATCAATCTAGCGGAACTCTGTATTGAATGTTGTGTAATCATGTCATCTATATTAAGGGTTGCTATTGAATTATAGTAGCTCACAACTCTTTGAAAATTAGTAATATGTCAATATATTTCACATCACTAGAACAGGCTTCTGATAAAAATATAAAATTCCAAATCATGCTAAATAGTAGGAATAATTAACACAACAAATGAATAGAATTCTGTTTAAAGCATTCAAAAACAAACCAATAGATTTCAACAGGGACAATCTCAAATGATCTGATTAATTTCACTTACAGTACACTCTTGCATTTCTTGTTCTTTAGTTGCTAGTCGCATCACCAAGATATTTTCCCTTCGAGCAGATTCTTGTTGTTGTTGCTTCAGTTTTTCTTCGGATTCTCTCAAACCAGTTACATCATTGGCTAGGGTAAAAAAGTAAAGAAATTACAAGGATTATTACCAGAAACCTTCAAAATAGTAAGATAAAAAGATAAACAATAAGATAAAAATACTATAAACAAAACAAAAACAAAATAATGTGATTCATAAATACATTTCCCTTTGGAAGAAAATATAAGAAAGATATAACTTCTATAAGAACACAGGTAACACAACAACAAAATTCACTCTATGACTATTTTCTACTGGTCTTTTAAGAGTTCACAAAAGAACAGAAAATAGTAATGGCATGACAGTGTATCATACAAGCTATATGACTCTGTCATAATCCTCCTTTTCAGTCCTAATGTCCTAAATCACTTTCAAATGTAATCTTTTATACCCATGGGGGGGAAAACAGCTTGTTTTAAAGAGAGCTTACAAATATGAGAGTCGTTAATTTTTAACATTAATATGTGCATTTATATACATCAACTACTTATTTCTTTTATATGGCCCAGTGCAATTCTTCTTCACTCAGTAAATCCCAGGACAAGCCAAGAGGTTGGACATGTCTGTTGTATGAGAATGTGAAGATCTACAAAATCTAATCTGCTCATTTGCATCTATCAGTTCTACATGAAGCACAAAAGCATCAATAATAAATGCTGCCAGAATTTTCTTCTACTTGCATTTTACTTTGAATTTTGTCAGCAGACTCATATTAAGGAAAAGGAAGCAATTTTTTGGTACATGAAATTGTAATTTGTCCAACTCTAGGGGCATTGTATGGCTACAAACACAATCCGTCCCTAATTATTGTTTCCAATATTAATCCCAGGTGAAGCCAATGTTTTCTCCCTAAAGAGATAGTTCTGGGACAAGGATGAATAACTTAAAATAACCTAAACTCAAATCCCAAAGATATAGCACAGTTTAACAAGCTCATTATTCTATGAAGGTTTCTTGTTGATTGTTGTTAAATCAGAAGTAAACAAGCTTGACTATCCAAAGGAAGAAATCATAATCCTAAAGTCTGTTGGTGCCCTAAAGACTATTTAATAATTAGATTATCTTATTTATTGTTAACATATTAAGTTTGTCTATACAAGAATAACATATCACTGCTTTTGTCTAATAAAAAAATAGGAGCCAAGTAGTAATATAAAAGTTGCCCCATATCAATTTCAGAATTAGAAAGTGAAATATAAATCAGGTTTAATGAAAATACATGTATTACAACACATATAAAATGTACTATCAAGCAGGTAGTGCTTTCATGTATACCTTATAAGGAAATGACTATCCAAAAGGATAATCCTCAAAAAGCTTTAACTAATAAAATAATGAAATTTAAAAATGTGCTATGTATAAGAGTTTTATTTAACAATTATTGGAAAACAATTGATAAAATCAGATCAATTATGTGAACTATTGTGTACACATTTATCACATGTCAACTGAGAAAATATGCTAATATCTGAAATTGGCAAAGCCTTGCTTCAATAAATGTATTCAGAGTAACATGGTTTGGGTTTTGTTTTTTACACGTACTGGTGAACTGAAAAAATTACAAAAAAATATCTAGCCTAATGAATATGTCCAGGGAAAGCCTTTCATATCACAAATTCTTGATTCAGACAGTGTATAAATTTTAATGTATCATTAGAGATTGAGTATAGATAGTCCTCAATTTATAACCACAATTGGAACCAAAAGAATTAAGAACAGTGCAGTCATTAAGTTATGCCTCACGTGACCACACCTGATTTTGCAACTTTTTTTATTGGACATTAAGCAAACCACCTGGGATGGTTAAGTGAGACATCAAGTGACTACAACATGTGATCTACCTCCAGTCCCACATTAACTATACCTGTCAGAAGCTAGCTGGGAAGGCCACAAATGATCATGTGACCGGAGGATGACATAATTTGTAAATGTGTAACAGTTGCCAAGCACTGGAATCACAATAATGTGACTGTGAGGATGATGCAATGGTTCTAAATACAAGGATCTTTCATTAAGTCACTTCTTTCAGCACTATTGTAGCTTTCAACAGCCACTCACTAAACAAATTGTTGTTAATCGAGGACTGTCTATATATATTGCTATGTCCATATGTTGTCCAATAATTCAAACTCAATTTTTATTATTCTATTTTTCAAAGAATATGGCAGAGTCTAATTATATATTCAGCTGATTTTCAACTTACAGTTTAGATCAGTGTATTTGCCCTCAAGAGCTTGCACATATGCTTCATACTGCTTCCATCTAACAAAGAAAGAAAAACATTTCTGGATTGCATATATGATAAAAAAAAATAGCAGCATACAATTAAACCCATTTTACAGCTTTCACTAATTAAATACTTTAATTATCATGATAAGATATGTATAATTTAATACCTAAGAACACCCTTAGTAGTTACAGGAAACATACACCAACAAGCCCCTACTTTAAGTTGCAATCTGCTTTCAAAAATAATCCTTTCTTTTGGTGGATTTGCACATCATCTTAAATCATCTCTGGCTATTTTGATCACTTTTTAAAATATATACATACCCACACTATTCTTTTTCAGGGGATAAGCAACATAATGTTAAATGCAGAAAAGGAGTAAGAAAACAAAAGTAAAATAAAGACATAACTGAAAATCAAAAGATAAACATAATGTATAACAAAATCATTTGCCTTACCTCCCCATATTTTTCTATCCTTGCAAACTGTATCTAATAGATTTCAATAGCTCAGTGAAATTGTTAACTGCTTTTAATCTGCTGGTATTAGGGCACAAGATGGGTCAAAAGTAATTCTATAAAACAGGGGTCCCCAACCCCCCACTAGTCCATGGCCTGTCATGATCCAGTGCCACACAGCTGGGGGTAAGTGGCAAGCAAGCAAAACCTAAGCTGCCACCACCACCCCACCCCAGTCCATGGAAAAATTCCACAAAATTGATTTCTTGTGCCAAAGGTTGGAGATGCTGTTATAAGCAACTGACTCAAGGTCACTAAATTGAACTGAATTGAGTTTTTTTCCCCATGTTTCGTTAGCCCAACCCAAATATGTATTACATGTACACAATCATACCTTTAAACTAATTTCAGATATGCAAAGAAAGAGATATTCCTACACCTGCATTAAATTACTTGTTTTGGCTGAGTGCAATGTGAAAATCTAACCACTGTGCTTTCCAAATTATCATGTGAGATAAATCATTATGTATTATGTAAATCCAGATTAATAAAAACAATAGTGCAATATGTGGACCCTATATCCATTACATGGGTAAAGAGTTGATTGAATAATGCTTCTGTCCTGATAACTTTATAGACACTTCAACATAGTGTTCTTTAGTAAGTGGCTTGACATTGTCTTCTTCCAATTTGTCTTTTTCAAAGTCTTCATCTAGCAATAGCTCTTAGCTATTCTAACAGTCTTCAATTCAAATTTTAACCAGAATTATGCAGTACTTCAGGATTTAGAAGAGGTGCTCCAAAATATGCTTGTTTTTGGCCTGTACTTCAAAAGCATCCCCGCAGCAATTGTACAAACTCATAAAACATAGCTGCTTTAACAAATTGCAGAAAGATCCTAATTTGTGAATCCACATTTCAAAGGACGTCTTCTAAACTGAATCCTATGAACACTGTTTTTTTTAAAGAGGTTAGCCAAAAAGGGCTAGGGGCCACTTATGATCAAAACAGACATCTAGATCAAACTGCAGGTAATTCTTGCGTAATGACTATCCGTTCAGCAACCATTCAAAATTATGATAGTGCTGAGTAAAAGGACTGATGTGCTGTACCTGATGTTATGGTCATTATAATATTCCTGTGGTCACATGATTGCAATCATTTACAATGGGTTGCCAAGTACCTCACAACCATTTGATAACCATTTGCAAACTTCTGTGATAGCTTCCCCAGAAAGTCAACAGGGAACTAGCAGGGAAACCCACTACCGCCTGCTAAAAGAACTCCCTCTGGTTGCTTGAGACAGGCTAAAAAAGGTCTGCCCTGAGATCCAAACAGGGTTTCAGCACAGAGCATTTGCAGCATGGTGCATTTGCAGAAATCAGAGGATGTCCTCATCTTTGGGAGTTGGCTGTAAACATCTTTCTCAATCTGTCTCTTTGAGAGTGAAAGGGCTGCCCATCACAGATTCAGACTCATGTGGGGAAAGTCCCTCTGTCGGGCAGCTGTTTAACAGTGAAAGTACTGCTCAATGGAATATTTTGACCCCATGAGGTCATCTCCCTTTGGTAGGCAGCTCTTTCTCTCCACCCAAGAGATCGCTCAATGATCACAACCTGTCATTGAGCAAAACAGCCACATGACATCTCGCCTAACGACCACTTCACTCAATGATCAAAGATTCTGGTTTCAATTGTGACCCTAAGTCAAGGACTGCCTATAATGGGATACTTACTTTTCCTTTTAAACATTTTCATATGCAAAAATGGTTCATTAGTCCTTCTTATCCAATAAGCTATTGTGAAGATCCAAATTATTCTATGTAAGATATGAGAAATGAATTTTTGCTATTATGAGACAGAGCATGATTTTACCTTAAGATCAATTCCTCTCTAGGTAGAACCTTGAAGTCTGTTTCACTGAGACGGGCCTGCACAAAAATAATTTCATTGAATTATTTCATCTAGCATTGACAAAGGAAAAGTAATAGAAGAATACATGTTTCCAGATTACCTTTTTTGGAAGTGGTTCTTCATTAGTCATTGTGAACTCTGTAGAAGAAATAACACTATTACTATTTTATCATCTTACAAATGTAACTAAATGTATATACACCTTAAAGTACAAAAGTTCCAATCAGTTTGAGTATATGTAATACATTTTTACAATAGCTTTGGAAAATGGTAAAAACTTTAGTTTCAACAATGTACCCCATTGTAACTCTTGAGAAATGTATCAGTTAAGCCCTACTGAACTCTATATTGTAAAAATATGTTCATTTTGTGGATAATTAAGACATTTATTTTCAATAATAATGAACATTAAAATCATTTCTGAGATTGTATATGTGAAAACTCACTACTGCTTGTGTAATACAGATTCATCCAGTTACAGATAAATCTGTTTTATTAAATGTATGGTTTTTGCCATTTCAGGAAGTAAACAACCCAGGATCATATTTAGTGACTTTAAATATTACTATTTTTCTGCACCACATAGGTTAATTTAAAACTAACATTTTCCATAACTAGTAGAAAGCTATTGTTTATAAATGGGAAAATATATGCTTTAAATAAATATATCTTAGAGAGAATGTTTTGCTCAAGTTTTAGAACACTGATAGTTGTAATGATCAGTAACAGACTAGAACAATGAAACTTTAATTTACAAGATGAGGCAGTCTGATCTATTTCACAGAACCAAAGATGAAATGGCAACAAGCATGCAGCAATTAACAATTCTGTTGTTTTATATAACACCATATAAATTCAATCTGAGGACTCTATAAATAATGCTTTACTTAAATTATCAGCAAAGATAATTTAATAATCTTATTGATTTTTTTATAAATTGCAAAAAACAAAAACACTAAGCACAATTTTATAGAACCTTATAAGAAAGCAGTAAGTACCTCTGAATGATAAGTCTCAATTCCTGGACAAATCTATATAAGATTTTTTGGCAACACTATAGAATTGGCTTACTTTCTAACAGGATGTTTTGACTTCTCAGTCTACTCTCTTGTAGTTTTCCATCCAATTACTGAGGTCTGACTATTTTTAAGGGTTTCCTCCCAAAAAGGATCAGCCACAGTTCATTTTTTAATCGTACCATAAAATTTTATTAACTCAGACTTTCTATAATTTGTTTTAAACTAATTACAATAACAAACTATTTTGTGTAAATCTATTATTTTCAACTTCATTGATTTTTTTTCTACTGCAAATAAATATTATCCATTTTTCTATTAGATGACTTCTAATTCTAAAACAATTATCTTCTCTTTGCATGTATTTGGACCATATTTAGGGACTTGAGATATTGTTCTGCATAAAGCCTTCATGTCTTATGTACAACCCTAAAATTAAGAGCATGATCTGACCCCAAAGTTGTACCTACAGCCCCAAAAATACGAGTACAATAAAAATTAGAATATGTATTGCTTGATATTACTATGCTGTAGTAAATTCTGCGAAATAAATACTCAGTAGAGCAAGCCAATTTCAATTTAAGATGAAATGCTTTTCTCAACCTCTTTATTAAATAAAATTTAAAAAAATATTTTAGTGGAAAATATTGTCCTCTCTTCATAATAATCAATGGAATAGATATAATAGCAACTATGATTAAAACACTTTTCAATATAAACAGTTGTACAAATACCCCATCTCATATCAATATATTAACTCTACATGTACAACTGACTTTCTACATATGGCATGCAACTAATTTTTACATGGGCAGGTTATTCATAGCCAACTGGATTACCACTACATGTAACATATTCATTGCATTCTAGCACATCAATGATGATAGTTCTTTCTAAGCAACCTGTAGAATGAACAAAAATATTTTGTGTCTGATATGCCTTCCCCAACTTGGGTCTTCTGCAAGTGCATTGGGCTACAATTCCCATTTCTAGCAATTACCATGCTGAAACAGATGATTTATAATTTAACATAGGAGGAGGAAATCATTTTGAAGAGTCATTTGCTATGTGAAAAATAATCACACCTTAGGTTTTATATAACTTTTGTCTACAGGGTGGCAAAACTGCCAAATAAAATACCAATAGTTCAGCAGAGCATGTAAAAATAATGAAATCTACAGTCAGTTTAAGGTTTTAAAAGTAAATCTATATTTTCCTCCAGAATCACTGTTAACCTCCTAATAAAATACAACATAACCTATCCTATTTTTTATTGAAAAGAATTGTTAAGACATAAAATGTTGATGAACTTAAAACCATTTTGCAAGCTAAGGTCTTTAAAATATAAGCATGTGATCCCGCAGCCCAATTCAACCTAATTTACTCAAAATATTTGGACACTCCCGTGCATAAAGACTCTATAATTTGTAGACGAACACGCAGACACGTGACTTTATATCTATATTTCAAGCTTTTCAGGCTATAAATATTTTTTAAAACCCGCACGTTTGGAACTGATCTGCAAGCGAATAATGTAAGAACAGCAGCTTTAGATCCTCCTCGCCTTATGGCCGTTTAGGTAAACAAATCAGGATCTTCCCGAAAATATAGGTCGCCTGTCTAAAATGGGCCTTCGGGAAAATCGCAGCAATCGCGGGAGGGGGCGGCTGAGCAAGCGACAAACAAGAAGATGCTACAGGCATGGGGCGATGTCGGAGCCCGCGAAGAGCTGCCGCAAGGGGCTCGGGGGGTCCCGCCGATGCACACCGGATGGCCTTCGCAATCTCTTCTTCGTTCTTTCCGGCGGTCTTTCGTTAAGGCTGGAGTCCGCGGCGATTCGCGCGGGAAGAAGAGTAGGCCACCACTCACCTCCCGCCGATGGCGGCGCCGCCAAGGCGTCGTGTTCAGAGCGCTCCAGATACTTCCAGGGACGGCCTTTCCTGTCGCATCGATAAACTTAGGAACCACCGCCCTGAAACGGTCACCACCGCCGCCACATTCCGCTTCCCGCCCGCTCTTTATTCGCTGGTTCGCTGCGCTACAAAATGGCGCCCGAGAGGGAAATGAGAAAAGCCGCCTCGCCCCTTCCTTCACTCCCACCTCGTACCCAGCCAGAAGGCAGCGCCGCCGCAGCGCGGAGCCAACCGCTGCCACTCAATTCCCCGGTCCCTCCCCCGCCCGACTGCCACCACTCGCGCGCCCTCTCGCTCCCTCCCGCCTCCTCTTCACTTACCGGCCCAGACAGCCTGGCAACAACTGACTCCGCAGCAGCCGCTGCGGCGCTCGCTTAGCGCCGGGACTATACTTCTCTGCCGCTTCTTTGCCACTACCCCCCTCCGCGGCGCGCGGGCGGCGTTAACTTCTGTTGCTTTCTAGTGAGACAAACAGCTGTTGCTCGAGAAAAGGGACAGAAAAATGAATATTTTCCGGAGAGGGCGGGGAATGGTAAAGAGGTGGGAAACGGTCAAATCGGTCTACTCCGTCTGTCAGGATGCGCATTTGCAAAGCATGATGGGTACTTGCGGAGGGGGGCTGTCGGCGGAAGGATTCAGAATCATAGTATATAACCACCTGCAAGAGTGAGGTTGTTTTGGCGGAAGGAGACATGCCACAGAAAATAGAGTCGAATCTTCATTTCTGTTTTTCGAATTGCAGATGGATCTTGCAAAATGATTCAAGGATTGTAGCTCAGTTCTTCTACGCCCAGTGCAATACTGTTGCTTTTCGCTGCGTAGGAGTGATCCTTTTTTTCAAGATTATCGATTCGTTTCTAATTCAGTTTTGCACGTTTTTGCCGTTCTGGAACAGCCGGAAAACTATTAATGAAGTGTTTCAGGAATGATCAACCTCCTCCTACGAGTCATTACTAAGAAAACCTTTTTCTACAGGCTATGGTGGCCAGTACTGCACAAATAGTTTGAGTAACGTTGAAGAACTGGGATTAACTGGGTTTATAATGCTAAGGCATAAATCATGTTTCTCAAACACCTAGATAGGTTCGCACAAGTAGTAAGCCAAGGATTTTTGACAGGTGAACTTTGACAAGGAGGGTTGTAAACAACTTGTAGAAAGCGTCGTAATTGTTTTTTTTCTAGTTGATGAAGTTGTGTAAACAAACCAAAAAACAAAGCTTTTAAAGTTTATTTCTGGTAAAACTTCAGCATCCGTTGGGGTACAGCAAAGGTTGATTTTTTTTATAATTCTAAATACTCGTTTATAATTGCACATACTCTTTCATCCGGTGATGATACTGTTGAAAGAAATGTCCTTCTGGGTTCAGCTCCAAGTGGGGAAGAAGACACTGGAGACATGGAGGCTGAAGTTTTA